TCGAAATATCAAAACGTTTTTTATATCCTTCTACAGTGTATTTGTTGTGAAATGAGTTCCTAACGCAGTATCTAAATATCGGCTATTTAACGATCCTAATGAACTAGGTTTTGTCGGTTATATGAGTCGTGTTCATCGGCATTGTATTTTCACTTCCGGTAATACCCCATCTAGATATTAAAATGTCCATTCAGTATTTCTTTTAAAAATAATCGAACGTTATCTACTGTAATATAATAAAAATACTTATCTTACTTAGAATACAAAAAAACAATGATTAGTATGATCAACTCCATCGTTACGTTACTGGCGGATTGCCTGTTTAAATAAATATGAGAACAAGCGATTTTCGCGAAAAAATAAAGAAATTACCATAAAAGAATTTCTACATCTTAATATTTACCCGATGATTAAAATGAATGCTTAATTACAGACTAATTTAATCTATTTTTATTTTTTTTCAATCATTATTAATTATATTCATGAGGATTTCTGTAGCAACGTTTTGAGATATTGGTGGAGAGACGATCGGCGTGTTGTAGAGTAAGGTGTATTTTTAGAAAAAATTAAAGTGATGTACAATGGAAATTAACAGACCAGTTCCAGTTCCAACAACGTATGTTATCGTGTAAAATAATTTAATTGTACCATAAGTCACACTTGTGCTATAAAATTAGATCTCCTTTGAATAAAAACCACTCTATAAGTACTGGCTATTTTTGTAAACCCACAATGAATGAATTCTTAATAACCAAAAAATAAACAATGAAGGTATTTTGTCAACAAAAGATTTGTCTTCGCCCCAGGTGCCTTTTGTATATTTTGACATATGTTCATTGGAATATAATCAGTATGTGTGATAATAGTGTATACATAATTATGATATCTTCTTTTGTCCTGCCTAATGAATACATTTCCCTTATAATATTATACACCATTTAAAGCTCATACCTTTTCATGGGTAAGACTAAAAACAGGAAAAATAGTTGTGCAGTCAGTAGTATATCACTGTACATGTAACTGATGGGGTCAAAATTAAGTGGCCAGCAGGTGCCTGAACATAAGTGTGTAAAAATCAACATACACGTTGAGTGTTTCTTACATTCAGATCAACGTTTCTTATTATTACTCGTCGTTGACATGAAGGATTGCATGATCAGAAAGGTTGACAGCTTCAAATACACGTTAAAAGCATGATTACCCCATCACAGATGAAAACAAAATAAATAAATGAATGGATCGGAACGAAATGAAAAAAATATGACAGAATGAATGAAAGAAAGCTACTTCAATTTACTCTTATTGATATCGTAGGATAAGTCAAGAGAAGGAAAAGTACCTCAAGAACGAGAACTCCTTCTCTGTATATATTTCTATCAAACAGAAATATATACATTGTAGTATTTCAATAAAAGGATGTTATATCTGATAGTAGCTATTGTCGTAGGGTGAATTGTAAAATAAAAGAGTTATGTGTTTGAATTGATAAATATATTAAATAGATAAATAATTGAATAGATCATGCGTGTTGTTTTTATTTTTAATTCCCCTTATTATTACAATTGTCAAAACAGTCCTATAAACCTTTCCTGTATACCTATACAGTAGCCGAATTATCTTTTCCAATCTATACTTTTTTTTTTCTTCATAACTATTACATAATAATAAGTCGCTTTCTATCTAACCTGTGACCGTGTACGAATGCAATGCTTACATTGCATTACCATTAACAGTTTATTATATATAGACGTACATTGCTTTTCATGTATCTTAATATAGTCTTTTTACTTCACAGGTTAGTGATACATTTTTGTTGTGCAACTTTAGTAATAAGTATAAGTAATTCGTATTAACTATGTTTCTTAATGTATCTTAAAGCTCATCGTTCATTTATCATTCATATTTTGTATACATGTACTTTGTTATTATATTGATTCATGGCATTCACCATTAACAGTTTATTATATATAGACGTACATTGTAAACTTTTCAATAAATATTGTTATATATCTTTGATATATCTTTTTACTTCACAGTTTCCAACCCATTCCAAAGGACCCATGATTGTCCATCAAATTATTATAAATGTTGTTTTCGCGGGACAGCTTATCAGCTGCGGCAGTAATATAAGCTCTACCGACGAGTGAACCCCGTGACAACTGGCGCCCAGTAAGGATTTGGAATTAGGATTGGACATTGTTTTATATTAATTGTATTATATATACACGGATATTTTTAAATTCAGTTTGAATACACACCATGTGACGTCAGAGCGTTTACGTTTTTCTATTGGATATTTTATCCCTTTGACCTGGTAATCGTGTATTTGTTTACACGTATCTGATCTATTTTTTGGATTTACACGTCCTTTATGGTACCTACTCCTGAGCTGTCATTTGAGATCTCCGACGTTGGATTCCGTAAACATAGGCCTATGGAACTACTTATCATCACCACCAGGAAGGATTACCATCGATAACCAGGATTTCCTATGGATATTTCTGACACTGTGGATATTTATTGTTTTTAAGTTTTGACACATAAGTGTGTATACATGTGATTATTGTTTTGTTATATGTGGATTTAAATATAGAAAGTGTTATTTTCTTGAGGTTTTTGATATATTTTAAATTTTTGAGTAACTTTTTATTAAGTAACTTATAATATTCCAGAAAATAATAAGTAAATTGTTGGTATTGGCTAGATATTTTGATAGCCATCATTAGTCTTAAGTATAAATTTTGTTTTGTTTTCGTTAACAAGTCAGGAAATTCCATCTTTTTCCCTCGTATATTGCAGTAATATAAGCTCTACTCTATTAGGAGGCCACAAGAAAAATTTACTCTTCTCCCCTCGTTATTAACTTCCATTTTGACCAATTACTCCTATAACAACTGAAATCAATACCAATATGTCTCTATCTCCTCGATAGTCGAGTGATCTAAAGTGACGGATTGTCCACACCGTATTGGTCAGTTGTTTAGTGTGTGAGTTCGCTCCCTACTTTCGACCATATTTTTTTTTAAATATTTTTTTTTTGTTTGTTTGGGAAATAATAGTTATATAAACGTTTAACTATTTCTTACTCTTATTGCACAAACATTGCAATAAAAGATTGAAATATACAAGATAATATCTTGCCATTAAACTTACATAACATTTGCTTTTTGTAATTCAATTACAAGAAGTAAATTTTAATGTGATATAAAAAATACCGTTTCAATGCATTGATAGTTGAATCGCGGATATAGTTCGCAGAGCGACGCATTTATTTTATGAACGATGCTGATGTTTTATAGTTTTCATAAATAAGTAGGCAGATACTTGAATATTGTTTCTTCTGAAAAACATTTATCAAAACTATGAATGTTTAAAAGATTTTGCGTGTAGCGTGAAACTATTCGTCTTTGCAAACTTTGTAAAGGTTGGTTCATTGAAAGAAATAAAACAAAGATGGTGATTTTGTGTTATTTAGAGATACTTCACAGGTAAATTAAACGTAAGACCCATAAAAGAGGTATCATTGACCATTACGATTATTGATTGTGTGAAAGTCAAGAGTCTCCGTAGCGTAGTGGTAAGAACACTTGCCCATTGACCGGGAGGTCTGAGGTTCGAAACCTACAATTTGCCTAAGGTTTTTTTAATATCAGATAGTTATTACATGTTATACTTATAACACCACAACATCATTCCATTAATTGGCTGGTTAATTAATAAATAAATATAAATATTTAAATTAGCCCAAGAGTAAAGCACGTAGAACTACAGTAAATGATGAGAAGCAGAAGGGGAAGTAATCAGGTCGATACGTTGAAGGTATATATACATGTGTATATCCAAGAAATTTCGCGGGAAAAACACGGACTAAAGGGGCAGTAACTGTGTAGTAACTGTGATAATTATCCAAACCTTTATACATTAAAAAGTATATGTGTACAAGTGTTGTTTCTTTTTTTTTACTTTAAAGCAAAATTGTTACAAACGATATTTTGAAGGTTTGTCTATTGTGTTTATTATAGTAGATATTGGTTCTGAAATTGAGTTGATTCGGTTGTTTGCTTGTATTTGAAATGGTATGCTGATGAGTGTTATTGTGGTTTATTACTGCATCGTGTGATTTTGTATTATTGTGGGTTAAGGTGAATTAATACGTTTTGTTGGAAATAGGTATTGAATCTGGTGATTTTTATTGGTTTGGAAGTGCTGATTTCGTTATTGGTTGATATATATAGGATTGTTTGGAGTTTTCTTTCGGATTAAGTTATTTGACGTTGACTTGTGTTTTTGGACCTTTCCGAATGCATTTTGAATTTAAATGTAATCTACTGAGCTGTTAGATTGAACTTTATCAAAAGGAAGCAGAGAGATATTGACTATTTGATAGTTTCATCCAATAGACATGGCGTCATTTATATCTGAAAGAGAAATGAGGTTACGAAGAAGAGAAGCAGCTAAAGAAGAGGAGGAGAGGAAAAGAAAGGAACAATTGGAATTTGATTTGATGGAAAAAGAGTTAGAGATTATTAGAAAACAGAGAGAACAACTGAAAGCTGATACACAAAGAAGAGTATTAAGTCAAACAGGAAATATTGGAAGTACTGAGAATTTTGCTGAAAATGATAAAGATGAGGAGGAGCTGAATGAAGTATTTTTCACTACTTTGGATGAATTTGAATTCGACCCACACGAGATAAGAAGTAATTCAAGCTTCTCAAATGAAATGGAAAATAGTAAGCATTTTAAGGAAGATGAAAGGAAAGAGTTAGAACGGACTTATGGAACAACACAAGCTGTAGTTCATAATGAGATTGACAAAAGTGTCATGGACCAGTCTATAGAAAGTATGCTAAGTAACAGCAAGATTAATCGAGAAAGTAACAACAATAAAACGGCGAGGAACGAATAAGAGATTTGACGCATATATGAAAGAGGTTAGAGCAGAGTTTGAAATGCTTAAAGCTTGAAGAAGAGATAGATGTTCAGTGAAGAAAGAGAAAATGGATAGACAGTTGAGAGAGAAAAAGGATACGGAACAGAGACTTAAAGATGAAGAATTATTAGATAAGGAAATAGAATACTACGAAGAAAAGTTATTGAGAAGGAGAGCACAAGATGAACAAGAGGCACTAGAGAGACGTTTGAGGAATGAAATCGAAACGAATTTACGGAAGGAATATGAGCAGAAATTAAAGAATGAAATGAAGGAAATTGCAAGAAGAGAAAGCGAAGAAAGAAAGTACTTTGAAAGAGAAAAGGAAAGAAAGCAATTGAAAGAGAAGGAAAGACTGATGATGATGAAACGAGAAAAACAAAGAGAAGAAGAAATGAAAATGATGGAAAGAATAGAGAGTTTGAAGAAGATTGAATTGGAAATAGATATGAGAAATAATGAGTTTGAAGGCGAAGACAGTGATAATGATATCGATAGAGATGTACAAGAAAGGATGGAACTTTTAAGACAGGAAATGATGAGTTTAGAAGAAAGAATACATATGAAGAGTAGAGATAGTAGAAACAAAGGGACATTATTTAAAGATAGAAACACAACAAGAAAGCCATATATATCATCAGGAACACCACAAATACCTCACTTTGATGGAACACAATTCGAAGAATGGAAACTCGAAGTAGAAAGTGCAATAGAAACGGGATTATATCAAGATTATGTTTTGGCACAGGCGGTAAGATCATCCGTAGTTTCAACAGCAAGAAGGGTGTTGCAAACATTAAGACCAGCAGCAACTACAAAAGAAATCGTTTCTAAAATGGAAGATATATACGGTAACATCAGAAGTGGAGACTCTATCATTCATGAATTTTACTCTGCTAAACAACAAATAAGTGAATCATGTTCCGAATAGGGAGTAAGAATTGAATTATTGCTTAATCAAGCGTTAGAAAGAGGAGAGATAGAACGATCTAGAAAGGATAGAAATCTAAAGGAAAGATTTTGGAGAGGACTTAAATCAGAAAAGATAAAATTATCGACAAGGACATCATACGAATCAGAGGATAGTTTTGACGGAAAGCTAGAATAGAGAAATGGAAATAAAATTGGAAACATCGCCAAGGAGAACAGAAAAGGATTTTCAAGTTAAAGATGGAATCAAGGTATGTCAACCATTGCAAAAAATTGATGAGTCCAAAGAGAAAATGGATAAACTTTTGAAGAAAATGGAGGATTTAGAACGGGAACTGAATGAACTAAAAAGAAATCAACAAAGATATGAATATACTCCAAGATTTAGACAGAGCAATAGAGGATATGGACGATTTCAGAGCAGAGGAGGATACAGGTATGATAGACAAACAAGCGATCAAAGAGCACATGAAGGAGATTTAAGAAAGCAAGAAGAATCCTCATCGTCAAAAGAAACGCTAAAAGAAAATAAGGACAAAAAGGATGAGAAGAAAGATTTAAACTAGATGATGTCTCTGTTGAGGGGGAAACAGGAGACAAGAACAGAAACCCCTTTCATGAAAAATACATTTTTGATAGAATAGTTGGAACAAGCAAAGAAAGTGAAGTTATTGTACATAACAAGTTAACAAAAGGGCTGATAGACACTGGATCAATGGTTACAATATCTTCTACATTCTACAAATCCCTTCAACCAATTTTAAAATTGCATTCCATGGACGACTTTGAATTAGATGTTAGATGTGCAAGCGGAGAAAGATTGCCGTACTTAGGTTATATTGAAATATGCATCAAAGTTCCATCGCTTACCAAGATAGCTGTTCCAATTTTGGCTCTTGTTGTTACCGACACTGATTACCATCAACGTGTTCCACTTGTTATTGGCACTAATTTGATAAGAGAAATATATCAACAAACAAACCCTAAAGATAGCACCAACTTACCTAATTCTTGGAATGTAGCCTTCCACGCTATAACAAGTAATTCAATTGGAGTAGTAAAAGCTACAAAAGATATTAAACTACACCCAATGGAAACGAAAACAGTTATAGGATTTGTCCGAAAGCAACAAAATTCGTTATCAGCTGTTACAGAACCACTGGAAAATGACTTTGAGAACAGAGTAACAGTTTGTCCCAGAGTCGTCACATTAAACAATGTAGGAAAGACAGCTCGAGTTCCAGTTCGACTGTGTAATATATCAGCAAAGACCGTAACGATTTCTGCAAAATCAAATATATGTCAGCTTGAAGAAGTAAATGTCGTTCGAGAGGCTCCGATTTTCACTGATAACAAATCAAATGTAGACATCAAAACATCTGTAGAACCTGAAAAAGAAAATGAAATACATATGAGGAACATAGATATATCTGAAAGAGAAAACATGAATTATAAAAAGAACTTACCTCCATCCGTTGTGACTATACAGCAACAGACATCACCTGAAAAAGAAGAAGAAATAATGAATAAAAACGATGACATTCAACATAATTCAACAACAAATACTTTTGATGTAGACCTAGAAGATACCAATTTAACAGCAGAACAGAAAGAAAAGGTTTTCGATCTGTTTCGAAAGTGGCACTGTATCTTTCCGAAGTCTTCAACTGCCTTAGGCCACACTTCAGCCGTGAAGCATATTATAGAGCTAACAGATAATACACCATTTAAAGAGCCATATCGCCGTGTACCTCCAGCACTTTTTAACGAAGTAAGAGAACATCTACAGGAGATGTTAGACAGCAACACCATTAGAGAATCAAATAGTCCGTGGTCATCCAACGTAGTGATCGTACGAAAGAAGGATGGGAAAATTCGTTTCTGCATCGATTTCCGAAAGTTGAACCAACGCACAAAGAAGGATGCATATGCTATTCCGCGGATTGAAGACACATTACAGTTACTCTCAGGCTCTCAATATTTCTCTAAGCTGGACCTCAAATCGGGTTACTGGCAGGTCGAAGTTCGAGAAGAGGACAAGGAAAAGACAGCATTTCAGGTTGGAAGTGGTTTAGGATTCTATGAGTGTAACAGAATGCCCTTTGGCTTGTGTAATGCACCTGCCACTTTCCAAAGACTGATGGAACGTTGTATGGGCCATATGAATTTGCGCGACTGCCTCATTTACTTGGATGATATCATTATTTTTAGCAAAGACGTCGAAACACACATCAAAAGATTAGATGCCGTTTTTGGAAAATTAGCTGAATACAATTTAACAATCAAGCCTTCAAAATGTGAATTCTTTAAGACACAGACAACATATTTAGGACACGTTATATCAAAATATGGAATTCAAGCAGATCCTGAAAAGATACAAGCAGTAAAATCATGGCCAATTCCAAAATCTGTGAAAGAAGTACGTCAATTCCTTGGGTTCTCGGGATATTATCGGAGATTCATCAAAGGCTTCGCGTCAATAGTTCGTCCACTCAACAATCTTCTAATCGGTCATCCTACAAAGAAACAAAAGTTAAATCAAAAGAAACCTGTAAAGAAAACGCCATTTAAGTGGGAAGATGAACACCAACTTGCTTTTGAAAAAGTGAAAGAGATACTTACCTGTCCTCCGATTCTAGCCTATGCCGATTACAGTAAACCATTCAAGGTTCACACGGATGCTTCTAGTGTAGGTCTTGGAGCTGTGCTGTATCAGAAGCAAGATGAAAAAGATCGAGTGATAGCATACGCCAGTCGGAGCTTGAAGCCATCCGAGAGGAATTATCCTGCACATAAGCTCGAATTTCTTGCTCTCAAATGGGCCGTGACTGAAAAGTTTCACGACTATTTGTATGGCGGGAAATTCGAGGTAGTGACGGATAATAATCCTCTCACTTATGTCAACACCACAGCCAAGCTGGATGCAACAAGTCAAAGATGGATTGCAGCTCTGGCTAACTATAACTACACGCCAACTTATAGAAGTGGATTGCAGAATGCCGATGCAGACGGTTTATCGAGACGTCAACATTCACTTACCCAGGAGACTGTTAAAGCATTAAGTCTTGCTGCCACAATTGATACAGGACCTTTCATAGACAACGTCCAACTCCCTAGTGATAACAACACAAGCACCTCAGATATTCCAGCTGATGTCGTTCTTCAGAACTGCCTTTGTAATACAGACTGGATTAAGGCACAAAATCAAGATATTCTTATCGCGTACATCATTGATCACCTTAGGAAAGGTTCGATTCCGACTAAGCCGGACGGACGCAGATTTTCGGGGATTAATGCTTATGTGCGCGACTGGAATTATCTTATTCTGATGCAAGGAGTCCTGTACAGAAGACATCGAATCTTTGGTGAAGAGAGGTTGCAACTCGTCCTTCCAGAAAACCTAAAGGAAGATATTTTCAAGGCTTTGCATGATGACCTTGGCCACCAAGGTCGGGATAGGACGACATCTCTTATTAAAGAACGGTTTTGGCCTGGCATGGACTCCTATATTGCTGGTATGGTGAGAAAATGTGGACGATGTTTGAGAAGAAAACACCTACCTGCTAAAGCACAACTCGTCCCGATACAGTCATCATACCCAATGGAAGAAGTCTGCATCGATTTTCTGTCACTTGAGAGATCAAAAGGAGGCTATGAAGACGTGCTGGTCATCACTGATCATTTTAGCCGATATGCTCAGGCGTACCCTACAAGGAACCAGACGGCAAAGACAACTGCAAAGGTTCTCTTTGAGAACTTTGTAGTTCACTATGGTTTTCCAGCACGGATTCACAGCGACCAGGGCCAGAACTTCGAATCCCATTTGATCAAGGAACTCTGTCAACTTGCCGGTATCGAGAAGAGTCGAACCACGCCATACCATGCCATGGGCAACGGGATGACCGAACGCTTTAACCAAACGTTGCTCAAGATGCTGGGGACCCTTGAAGATAATCAAAAGGCTGATTGGAAAGCGCATGTGCCTACATTAGTCCATGCCTACAATGCCACACATCATGAGAGTACGGGGTTCTCTCCTTACTATCTGATGTTCGGCAGACATCCCAGACTTGCCATTGATGCCTTCTTGGGTTTACCCACAGACACTTTGTCTGCCAGCAAACATTCAGAGTACGTGGTTAAGCTACATGAACGTCTCAAAACAGCGTACGAAAAAGCTAGATTGATAGCAAGTAAGACGGGTCAGCTCAACAAGGCCAAGTATGATGAGAGAGCTCGAAGTTCTGTTCTCGCTCCAGGAGATCGAGTTCTTGTCAAAAACGTTTCCATCAGAGGCAAACAGAAACTGGCCGATAAATGGGAACACAGCCCGTACATCGTCATTAGCCAGCCTAACAATGACATACCTGTCTATCAAGTGAAGCGTGAAGGGACAAGGTACAAGAAGACAAGAACACTTCATCGTAATTTCCTTTTGCCATTCATGTCACAGATGCCATTGAAACAGATGAGGACCCGAACACACCTGCCGAAGATCAGGTTGCAAACAATACTGTAAGGCCGTATGTTATTCCTATGAGACGATCTACAGGCTCGCCAGGACTCCTTCCTTCTTCAAGACCGAAACGCACATCGAGAGCACCTGATAGATATGGCTATTGAACCTTGGCTTCAAGATATGTACAAACATGTATGGTACTATTGTCTGATTCATATTGTTTGAGTGATTTAGTGAGCATGATTATCTAAAGGATGAATATTTATGTAAGTGAGATTGTTTAAATCTTTTGTTCTCTATTTTGAATGAATTTTGTTGATTTTTCTTTTTCAGAAACGTTGTAAAACAGAGGCATATCTTGATGGTATTGATAGGAAATGAACATTATATTAGTGCCATTAATTTGCAAATTTTTGAATCATTTCAGATGATCCAGAGAACATCAATTGTATGTGTGTGCCGATGACGTTGTTCACTTGTAATTATCATTAATCATACCTGTTGTTTTTGTTTGTCATTTCAGGACATGTGCTGGTGATTTT